AGACTGAGGCCCCGGCAGGGAGGAACCGAGCTCTTATGAGCCTGCAAATCGAATATGGGTCGATTGGATCATGAGATCTCAGTCACTGCGACAACTAGTCATTTCACGTACGGTACTGTAATATTATATTGGAAAATAATAATACTATGCTTGCCTTTTTAGAAGGTGGGGGCCTAATATTTTATTCCGGACAATAGCGTTTAGGCTTTAGATGGGTTATCAATGAGGACGGACCAAATTAAGATAATGGGAAATCCGACACATAATCATCCATCTTACCCGCCACCTGACTGTGAGAGCCAAGAGTGGATGCGGTATATTGTCATGGGAAGAGGAGTTATAGATACCAAACACAGGTCACTGAGAAGGGTCCCTTGGTTCTCAAGAGAATAATCGCAGTAGAAATATCAGTAGTCGGACAAGGAGGGCTTAGCTGTGAACAATTCAGGGCCCAGAGGCTGCCATAGGCCACATGATTAGATACCTGTTAGGAACCTTTACTTTGGGAAGTGTACGGACATACCGTAATAGGAAAGCACTCCAAGTGGTATTTATGGCTCATAATAATTTTTCCAGGCGTTCAAGGCTGGTGTTTGAATTTAAGTCTTCCACAGGGAGTTAAACTGCAGGTATTTCGAGTGACTCTACGTGGTGGGCTTGTTTTTTTCCTAGTGGATGCCTGCCGTCTCGACCCCCAGCCCGAAGTATTATAGAATCCTTGTTTAAATTGTAACTAATCGGTCCTTTAGCTTTTACCTAGGAGCCAATCGAAAGCTCTCTGTTACTTTAGGTATTCTGCGGTGAGGGGAATAACTGTACCCTTCATTTTCCCCGTTGGAGAGGTTCCCCGTCCAGCTAAATACCGTATGTGTTGAAGTCGATGGAGATAGTGCTGTGGTTGGTCATGGAAGTCATAGGAGTACGTTTCAGTATTTGGAAGTATGGTAGATTTTTCTGAAGGTTGGAAGAGGATTATAGAGATATGTCTTTCCTTTGTAATCACGGATGTGGGCAGATGAGTTTGGACATGTGTGGAATGAGGGAGATGGGTGTAGTGATCCATGGAGGGATCAGGTTGCTTTGATGATGTTTTCCTTGTACACCTGTCATTACCGATTAGCTAGAGAGAGCACGAGAGGAAGTGCGCACCTTTCCCGGCTATCCCACCACCGCGAGTCACTATACTATTCCATTCTTTTACCACTGCGCATTCTGATATCAGCCTCCATCACAACAGTATGTATGAGCAGTACGGAGAAAATTGCTAAAACCTGTAGGCGGATAGAGTTTATAATAAGGATTCCTGGGAGAGATAGACCCGGGTTTCCCAATATTTTTCCGAGTGAGCGACCCTGACGAGTATCCAAGGGTTGATCATTTCCTTTTTCTCTCTCTTTCATCCACAGCGGATTTGGGTTTTCTGTTGACATAGATGTGTCTTCGGATCTTCGATATAACATGGCGGTATGGTGGGGACATCTGTGACCCTGCTCTGGCTACAGATGTCCCACACTGTATTCGCACGTCAACAGGATCATGAACGATCACTCAACCACTCTCTTCCAGGCGCTAGTCCCCTTGGTTTTACTGAACAGGTGGAACCAACCCCACTTAGGAACAGTAAAGTGGGGGTTGGGCAGATTACAAGAAACCGCTTGATTCATAGGAATATTCGGGAATAAAGTTTCCAGATCGAAACAAAACCTGTGTCAGGCTTAGAGCCACCACCTAGCTAATCACTAGGGATCTAGTGTAAGAGCAATACCGAATGTGCGGTATCGCCATGGAGTAGGGGTGTGACTGTTTTGAAGACCTTTTTTATTTTTATTGATATCATATTCCGAGCGGATAGTTTGTCGAGTAACCTAACATTCACATTATCTTTTTTTCACCCCCGGGTGGTTAGTGATGTGGGTGAATGTTAGGGCACTACGTGAAGCTAATTTTTCTCCCCGTTAACTTGATATGTCAAGAGTGAAAGCCTAAGGACGGTTTGTGTTCTATAATTGAACAAGGTTTATCTCTCTTCACCGAGTTTGCTGCACATATAAGAGGGAAGCCGCGCGGAATAAGCACTGATGCGGGAAGTAAATTTAAATGTGCGTTCGTACTGCCAGGTCGAACACTTAACAATAGAGAAGACACACTGCCACAGACATTGATGATGATGGACCATAGTAATTGCCCGTTTACTCCGAAGAAGGGGTTTAGGTGACAGAGCGAAAGAGTTCCGAGGGGGGGGGGGTTGTGGAGGTCGCGGGGAACTAGCCGAGTGTTCATGTAGATTATCTATAGGAGTAAAGTGCACAAATGCTTTCCTTGCGTAAGCCTGTGATGATGTACAGTACCACAACATATGATAGCGGGTTGACCTGCAGTCAACTCCGGCCAACAAGGCTGTGAGCGGGGAAAGTTACTCAGTGGTAGCTTTATGGAAGACACCGGGACGGTGGCTATACTCGAGTGCCGCAGCATTGTTCACATATGATATCCTAAGGCGCTTGGGTCAATATTAGGTACTGGAACCTCAACTTTCCCGATTGCTATAGGTACAAGTGGAGGTAGCTGGTCGTCTACCCTAGTAATGCCAAAAACCAGCCCGGTTACTATAATGCAGTGGCCTTGCTTCATCAGATCCTTTACGATTAGGCACTATAATAAACTACCTACTCCGCTAACGCGGAGGAAATCTAAATGCATAGAGAAAATAAGATCCAAGTAATCTAAGTCATCCCAGTGGATTGACCACCACTCCAACGCCAGCACAGCATTCAATGAAGGCACCGAAGGGCTGCCTATGCACTGCGCTAGCCAGCAATAACAATATGCTTAAGTTTCGCGCTCCCCAACAAAAACTAGGCCTCCAGGCAATGCCTGCAATTTTTTCTCTTGCTCGTTTGGATCGTGATATCCCCCGATCAACCATAAAGATCCCCCCTAGGGGAATCCAGTAAAGTCGCTCTCGGTAAGTGATCCGGATAACCTCTGGCGCCTGCCAAGGCCACATTTGGGCAATTTGGGATCTCGGAGCAAGGTTTACCGGTACTGTGAAAACCGTGTTTTGACAGCCCGGAGGTCGGTGGCTGTGTTTTGTGCTTTTGAGATGGGCGGGGCCGGGTTCTGCCCGGTAGCTGCGAGATTACTGCGGAACGTTAGGTTCTTACGGAATTTTGAGGTGCCGTGGGAGCTCGGATGCACGGAGTCTGTGTTGGATAATCCAAAATTTCCTCCTCTGGAGGGGGGGGAGGGGCAAAACACGCCGGGAAAACCTGCTTTCCGGGACCAACCAAATGGGAGGAAACACCAGATCTTACTGGGAGAGGCTCCAACGGCCTAGCACAACATCCGTTTGTTCGACTTCTTGCGGTGGACTGTTTGTATTATGGCAGCAGGAGAAGGCTATTTCGCCGTCGTGCCGGCGAAATGATGGCTAGGTGTGTTTTGCTGACCGGGGGTGGAGGTAAAGAGTTTCTTGAGTTGGAAAATTCTTTATCTAGTCAATTGAGTCATCTACTCGCACCTTGCTCTGAAATTACAGTATAGATATCAGTGCTATACAGCGCCCATCGGGTTTCCGGCGATCCCGAACAAAAGATAACGCTTTGCTCAGCGGACCACGGGATCCCAGATTGGCATCGGCATTTCTTCGGAATCGGTCGGGGAGGAGTTGGCCCAGGCTATTATTACATCACAATGGGCATCCGAGACGTACCGGACGATCGGATAAGCGTAGTTCTTTTCCGCTCTCCAATAATATATTCACAGCTTGGCATGAAACCTGCTAGTTGTCAGCGTGCACTTTCACCAAGTCATAAGGCTGGGCGATCCCCACTCGATAGTACTGTACAGTAACCGTATGCTGTTATCGAAAAGTGCTAGTGGGCGTTTTGCACCGGACACTAGCTTAGGTTAGCCCGATATTGTATCCAAGTATATGATACTGCACAGTATTGGAGGGCTAGTTAATGGTCAGCTAGTATTCGATCAGAAAGTACTTGACTCTCGAAACGGGCAAAACTATTTGTATCTGATCCAATAGATTTAATCGAGGAAAGCCCGCGGCTCGACCGGATGTGAGCTCGCAAGGAAAGTACCGCGGAGATCACATTGGGACCGCGCTGCAGTGAATTAGATACTCATGGTTTGAAGATGGGGATCAGCAGCAAAAGCACTGAGCACTTGTCCTTATTGGAGTATTGGTGGAAGTGAACATGCACTTCAGGAAGTTTGTTGTGCAAAACCCGTAACAAGTTACTGTACCTTTCGTAGCCTCACTTGAGCACAGTGAGCGCACCTCTGACTGTTCACGGTCATCCGAAAGGGAAAGTTACAGGCGTTGCAGTAGGGTATGATGTTGGTGGCGATCGTTACTATAAGTATCAGCAAACTAAGCTCTGCGTTTATTTCTGCACCTGCACGGGTCTTGCCGATATTCCACTAAGGTCAGCCTTTCACATCGCACCAGGTTTCGCTCACGGCTCCAGGGAGTAACTTGCGGTATGATCACGATCCTGCGTTCCGTAGCCTTCTGCTGGCGAGACACTGCGGCTTTACAGCGCTCTCCGTCGTGATTCTTTGCGAATGATGGAATTCCAAACCTGCCCACATGGCCAAAATAAATAACTGGTATGGTAGTTGTACGAGTACATGCGGTTACAAGTGTTGCTCCAGCGTATCACTAGCATTTTTGCTGACACTTCCGACCGGAGGGATTTCTCGTTTAAAAAAGTGAGAGGGAATGGTGCTAGGTTCAATCCGTCGGAGGGACAACGTTACACCACATGCCGTCCCTCCGCGCACAACCAGAAAAGCCCTCGGCGGTGCTGATTCACAGTGATCCTTTTCCAATACGGTAGGAGACTAGGGCCCGGTCAGCAGAGGGGCTGAGAGGCTCCTCCGGAATGATAGCGCATGATGGTGTGGTCTACCGGTACTGTAGTCACCCACTACTTATGTTACCAACCCCCCGCCCTCGTTCACCTTCGCTTCCGTTTTTTCCTCCCCTCCTCCCTACCAATAGCTGTCAGATCCCCATGGTCGCTTTTCTTCTTTGCTGAAGGGAGAAGGAAGAACACTGCATTCGAGATACTATGACGGCGTTCCCGACGGAGTCGCTTCCGACTGCAGACGCTCCAGCACCGACGCCCAGGTTAGAGGAGGGTCCAGCAACACAGACGTCGGATGAATGGAATCATTGGAATCCGGGAGAGACACCACCACCGTCAAATGGCAGGAATAAACCGGACGACGAGACTCCGATTCAGATAACGACCACGCCTACGCCTGCTAGAGTTCCGTCGGCTTCTCCCACTGAGTCGGGCACCGCTTATAGTCCAACGAGTCAAATTGACCGTTCAACATTGATCGGGATTTTGGTCGCGTTAGGATTTGTTTTCCTTGCAGCATTGGCAGCACTAGCTTGTATCAAGCGGAAGAAGAACCAGCGTAGAAGAGGGATAAGAAGCTGCCGTAGGAGGGGTCCCGTAGATGATGAGGACGATGGGGAGAAGGCGCCTCCCAGTTACGAGGTAGCAGTTTTTGGATCAACAAATGATGCAACATGGGTATGCGAGGATCCATTCCAGATATCTTGAAATCCCTACCCCTACAGTATTGCTAACGTACTCTTCAGAATGAGCATTATGGTGTCCAAAACCCCCCACAGCAGCCAGAGCAACCAATACTTCAATCCCCGGAACCGGTGCACCACGTGATCCATTCTCCACGGCCAATAAGTGCCACTAGTACCACAGCTCTCAACCGCCTCGAGCCAATCACGACACCGCAGCAGAGGCCAGTATCGCAAGGAATAGTAGTCTTCCCTCATGACTCCCCCGTATTGGGACCGCAAGACGACAGCCTTTCACTGCAAACGGCGTTAAGGCAGAGTCAGCAGAGTAACAGGGTGTTATATTCACAGCCCACTGCATCAGGAAGATTCACGGAGAGCTTTGACGATTCGGCGTCAGTGGTCAGCGAACTGACAGAGGAGGAACGAATTGCTGTGGTCGAGATTGTCTGAGACCTCTTGGGATACGGTAGATTATGCGATATTTTTGCTCATTTTATTTTTATTTATCTCTTTATACATATTTCTTTCTCACGAAGGGATGACGGATTGGCGGCATTTTTTCGGCTCTTTTTTTAAACTTCACGGTCCTTTTTTGCGCTGGGACATTTATCCAGATTGGCAAGGTTCAGTTAATTCTTGGGATTGCATATATGGGATTGGTATCACGAAGGGAACGAACCTGGGCCGATGTTGGGAACTGGAGTTGTTTCTATATCTCTTTAATATACCCTTTATTTCGTTTATTCAGTTTCTGGGGGCTTTTTTATTATCTTCATTATTTCTTTTCATCATCATACCTCTGGATTCTGGGGCGACGAACACAAACAACCGATTGATAGGTGTCATGTACTACCATGTTAAACGAACGAAAAAGAAAAAGAGGGTTATGAAAAGAAGAGCCTGTACGAACCGGTGTGGCTTACTGTTGCACGAGTGAGAAGTAAGTAAAAAGCAAAACTTTTCAAGTCACTTGTCTTCGCTGTCAATTGGGCTTTCTATAAATATCCCCAGGCCCCACCTCTACTGCATTAGGAAGTCCTTTAGTGGACTGTGCTGCATAGCCTAGCCTAATACGGACTTGGTACAAAGGCTTAGCTGGACCGCGCACATCACCTGTGGCACGACATAATGAGTTTTTCCGCACCCACTCTCATTTGACTGGGAAGTTCCTGGTGAAAAATTGCCCCCCAGCAACCTATCGCCTTGATGCCGTGCAGCAGCAGGAGTAGCTTGGAAACAGCTTGACTAACTTATAGCTATACAGTATTTTCTTTCCTGAAAAATCTATTTTCATGATTCACTGTCTGGACGCTCCCTTCTCATCATATTTCAAACTGTCATGGTCGTACATGAAACTGGAACTCTCTAGGAGCTTGCAATATGATTTCCCACCACCTAGTTTAATTCTTGGAGGAATCGTAACCTTCCTTACCTTCCCTTTACCTCTTTCCTACCGGTCGATCAACACACTGCGCATATCCATCGAAAAAAAAAAAAAATCTAAATACAGAAGCCTAACAAAGCAAAAACAGGACACCCGCTTTCCGCGTGCCTGCCTGCTTGCCTACCCACCATGACAAGTAAACAATACCCAAGGGCTCTCCCCTCCTCCCGGGGCACAAGCAGCAGAATCGCACCTCAGCCGCAGGCCCCACCACCACCACCACCACTGCCCCTCCCGGAAGTACTAACAGAAGCAACCAAGTCGGAGAGACGACTCTTCGCCGCCGCCGTCTTACGGAAACCAGAAACTCTAGCATCCATGCCCCGCAACCTAAAATCGTTATCCGAGGACTTTCAGCGTCGGGAAAGGGACTTGATAAAAGCACTGCCCCCGCGACTCCTCCAATCGCGAAGCACGAGCGGACGAGCCGCCAATAGGTGGGCGTGCAAAGTGCACGAACTACTTGACGGAGCTCTCCTCAAAGCCCTCTTTTACAAAATCCGCCGTGAGGCGTGGGGCACGCACTTCAACCACCTGGTGCCTGTGAAGGACAAAGACGCGCAAGAACTCGTAGCGAACTTGAGAATTATAACGGCTTATTGGATCCCCTCAGGAGATTATGAAAAGCTTTACATGGCGAGCCCTCCTCGGGGTGACATGTACCAGGACACCGATTGCGATGGCTGCCTTCTCGCAGCTATTGCGGGTGACATTTTATGTCTTGAGGCCGTGAGGATCGCAATCTATTCGAGGAAGCTTAAGGGCGGTAGGTTGGTCCCGTGGTTGGACGCCTGGATAAGGGCTCATGGCAAAGATGCACTTCAGAGGATAAGAGAACGCTCGGAAATTGTCGGGACGATTATCAGAAGTGCCAGAAGGGCAAGCTTCAATACTCTCGAGAAGCAGGCTAAGAAGGAGAAGCGGTGGAGAGAGAAGTCCTTGATGGATGAATTGAAGTACAGAGAAAGGAAGCTTAAATCTTTGGATCCGTTCAGCCCCGAGGCCAAAAGCTACTGGGGATATAGGGAGCCCAACGACCCCCCCGCGGATTCCCATGATGCCCCTCGGGGGAAGGGGCCTGGTACAATCGATTGCGTTGGCTCGAACCCGCCAGAAAGCGCAGGGCAATGCTCTCCCGTCCGACGAACCCCCTCTTTCTACGGCGAACGCTTCAATCCATTCGACGTCTACTACAACAGCGACGATGACCCATTCCCGCCCGTGCAAAGCGGATACACCTCAGCGTACTCCGCGATCAAGCTCTCGAACCATTATCAAGAAATTGAGCGCAATGGTGGGTGGATATAAATATTTATGCTGAATTCTTTTTTTCTTCTTTTCTTTTTTTCCTGTTTTTCCTAACGTACCATAAGCGATCATTCCTTTAAAAATGCCACTTTATACTGGGGCTTGCATGGCCCTACCCCGCGCCCTCATCTGAATACCTACCGTACACAAATCGAAGCGGGGCCAAGGTGCGCTAATACCATGTAGACAAGAATAGGAATTTTTCTCCCCTCTAGTCTCCAATATTGATAATTATTTCATGCTACCAATTATTTGATTTTCTGTGGGTTCACGGAAAAGCTGGGCATGCATGTAATGTGCCACGCCTGGTACTACAGTATGATTAGACCTGTGAAATACGGTACTTGCGGTTGGATTCTTGGTGGAGGGTGGTTGGGGGGGGGGGCATCATATGACCGACACCTAGTGTATCGTAAATTTATAACTTAAGGGGATCATAAATTCTAAATTGATGACATAGTGTGGGGTGGCTGATGATAGGGCCGGGCGAGAGAACGGGGCAAGCAACCGGTCACCCCTTTCAGCCCAAAACCTACCGCAAATTTTCTAGAGTTAGCTAAGGATTGATTCCCATGATAATAATGTTATTACAGATATGTTCAACATGGCTTTTTTTTTTTTACTTTATGAACAGTCTTGTTCTCTCGGCTGCGGCTAGCGTGGGGACATATTGATATTCCATCGGGCGAATGGGATCCCCGTGCACCCCCGGGGGGGCGGGGGTAGCGCGTTCTCATATCGCTGTACTGTGCCATTAACTCATGATCCTCCCCTGCGCCGGGGATACAAGGGGGTGGGAGTGGGAGAGGATCCAGGTATTAAAGTTACCGGGGATATTCGTATTCTATCAGATCCTGTAAGCTCGTTCGGCAAACATTGCCAGTCGAGAGAATTTTGAGACGGTTTGACACCCTTTTCTTTCCTGCTTGCAACTTGCGCTCTTTCTGTGATACGAGCCTGGGATATAGCCCACGGTTTCGCCCTTAGGCCCCGTTCGGCACGCCCGGGGTTGGATTTGGGATCCGGATTTTGGCCCATGTTTGACCGAGCTTTGGGTCCAGTAGTGTTTGATTGACCTAGACTAGGACTAGATTTTATTTTCTGGACCAGATCATAGTTTCCAATCTGGGCTTTAAGGAAGATCGAACTTGTGCTTAGCTTAACCTTGAAGAAAGAAGGACTATTAACCCACTATCAGGGTATTTTCCTTTCTCATATTTACACACCTTCATCTGATCTACAGACAGTTAAAGATGAAGGAAAGTATACGAGTACAGTGCATATAACTCCGGACGTGCCTAGTTAGGCCCAAGATCCAGAACCTAGCCTCCCAAGTTTGAGAACCTTCCCTTCCAAGCCCAGGCTTAAAGTCCAAATCCCGGTCTAGTCCGGGGGCACCGGGCTGTGCCCGAGACTCCGGAATGTTCGAATTTGGAAGGATGGGCACCATATCTCACTCGCCCCCCGTCAATTCCTTCTTTCCTTAACCCGGTTAGGCTTTCCCACCCTCAGACAAGATGCGGCCCTCACCGCCCGGTTTCCATAGATAACTTGCACGCACTGGCAGCACGGTTTCATTAACGTGATTAGTGATCGATCTTAACTCGTGATCTGGGCCGGCTTACACCCATTTAAAGACTGGGCCCCCTGCTTCTCCCCTTGCCCTGATACCGAGGATCGCAAAGGGTGCACCGAAACGCCTCGCCCGGCATCCGATTTCGCACCTAACTTAGGGAGAGGCGGGCGTTTTCGAAGTGGCCCTCCGGTGCATCATTGCTCACGGGAAGTGGAATTTGGTATCGGCTGGGGCCCCAATTCGTGCTCGGCGCAGCAAGTGCGAGGATAGGGAGGGTCAATCGAGTTCACTATTTGTGATCGTATCAGATGGTGCGAAAAAGGTGATAAACTTTTTTTATGTGCTCCATATAAAAAGCTACCGTATATAACAACCGCATATCTCTCATAACTCGATTTTCTCTCTTTCTCCACAGGTTTGAAATTTTTTTTAAGACTCGGCCAAAGTTTTTAATATCACCCCCGGGCTCAACAATACGGCGTGAAATTTTGGTAAATCCTCAGGGACCGGTGTTCCTGAAGCCGGGGGGTGAAAACGGATGCTTTGTGGGGGGTGAAAAGGCCGTCGAGCGACGCGGTTTGATCTCGCGCTTTGCGGGAGTACATACAAAAAAAAACTCTCTCGGCGCCTGGGTCAAGGGTCCGTCAGGGCTATACGATATTGTGGCATTATTCTATATTCAGAACAGAAGCTGAATGTTGTGGATTTTCCCTTTCTCCTCTTTCTCGACAGGTGCAAGAGGAAGAAGCTGTGCGCCCAAAACGTAACACGATATCCTTAGCCTATTAGCCCCAAAGGAAACACCTGCACCTGGGCTTGGATCGTTTCTCACAGTTTGATCTATTTCCGGTGGTTCGTGGGATTCTTTGGCCGGCTGGGGAATTATTGATAGAGATCATGATGCCCGTGGATTATCGTAGAGCCATAGACCTCTGTCTCTCTGGAATATATCACAGGAGTGGAAGGTTCCGGGGGGGGCGGAGGTCACTTATTGAGAAGCATCATGAGCTAAAAGTAGCAGATAAAGCGATACCGAACCTGTTGTGCAAGCTCACGCTCGACGACGCCACTCGATTTTTAATAGAATTTCGCATGATACGCCGTCATTGCTCAATCGTTTTTCCCACTGATAGATGTTTCCGTCTAGCCTCTCTCCCCACTCACACTCACCGCGTTTACACGTTCCCCCACAGCCGGCCGGTATGACTGCGGCCCGGAAACTCGTGAACAAGGGAAAGTCGAAAAGAATTTGCCTTCCATACCTTAAACATAGCTCAAGCTTTGCGATGGAATAATCCCAGCGGCTAAAATTCTTTTTGCCCCTCGAGGTCTAACCCAGCAGGTCTCTCCGAACTGATCATTACCTTAGGTTCCGTGTTTTTTTCATTTTTTCATAGTAATTTTTTTGGCGATCACGCTTGCCTAGGATCCGGCAAGTAGGGGCCCCAATTTCCCTCAGTTCCTAGAGTTTCCCGAGCAGAAATTCCCACGGGCCGACACATGGGCTTTGGCAAGTTAAAGCTCGTGAAAATAGCATGTGGGGGAGACTATGAAGTAACATATCCATAGGGAATGTCAGAAATATCATAACCTTCTCTTCACTCGAGAGAGAAATTGTCAAAACTAATCCGGACTCCCGCAGTGGTGGGAGTAGAACCTGCCTACATTTGTATGGACAGCGCGGTCATGCATAAGCAGTATCGGCATGGGACTGAGACAACAACGGCTATCCTCGTACGGCCAGATCTATCGTCTGGCCTGGAGAGGAAGGATACTAACTACCCCGAAGCCAGGAAAAATGCGTAGTAGGGAACTCCCCAAATTTCTTTCATCCGTTTACGTTATTGGAAATGATCTCCCTACTGTATCGGGGGTCATTTCCAGCCCACCACCACCGTAATCGGCCTAGTGCCAACGGATACAGACCCAGCTCTGCAAGTCCACAGTAGGGAAGTTGGGGGAACTCTCAACCCCTATGAACGAAGCGATGTAAAAGGTATTCCGTCGTATAATCATGAAATAAAAGGAAAAATAACAAAGTGACTTAATCGATAACTAATGAGAGAGCTACTGCACGGCCCACCAATAAGAGGGAACAGTGAAGACCTCCCAATATCACCATGTCTGGACACTGCCCGAGCGGCTAGTAACGGGGTCTGTAGTTTTTCTGACCTAGTTATATTTTTCAAGTTCATAACTGGGGAAAATCCAGGTTATCCCTTCTGTAGCAATGCGCGATGGATGTTGGGGGAGTCGTAACAGATTATCCGGCGAAGACCCATCCAGTGGAAAATTCCAAACAACAGGAGAGGGGGTGGGCCAGCTATCTATCAAGATGATATCGGTCGTTGAGGTGCTACCCCACGCATGGCTTCCCCCCACCGACCAAACACTCAACAAGGACCTGTGAGGAAACGAGAGGAAACGAGAGCAGCGATAAGAATTAGAGGAGGAATAACTAGTCCTAACAATCACCCAGCGTGGAACAGGATAAACCCCTCAGGGAAGCATTGAGGCCATAAAGAGAGTCGTCCCTCTTGTGAACACCTACCATCCCATATTTTCGAGTGATCGGGAGTGATCAGACAAATATTAAGTTAGGATTTACAACAATGTTACCCGTGACCCCCGACCCGAAGGCCCTACAGAATTCCCTGACAGAGGTCACGATAAACAAATATCCACCTCGGAGCCATTCCGCTACTGACTTGACAGTGCATGGATTGCATCTCGGGCTACAGACAACCATCGGCCATTGCTCCACGGTATCTACCCGTTCTTTCGTCAACCGCCTCTCACCCCCGTGATATTCCTAACTCGATATCACTCCGGCGCTTGTCAGTACAGTATGCTCTAGATCGCAATGAAAATGAAAATGAAAATCTCCAAAAGTTGGGCTCTTTGGGTAGCCCAGGTTGGCTCACTCGGTTGGGCGGATAAAGGGATTGAAAAGATTCGGAAAGGCTATATTTTTTGTATCATACTTTCGACATCTGACTTACATCGAGTATGCACTGTGCGTGCGTGTAGTTTTAGGATTAAGTTCTGGGAAATCTAGCGGCGTATTTTCTCCACTAACTTTCTCCCTGTTCCCTATCCGTCTCTGACCTCGAAGAAGGGGAGGGGGGGGGGGGGGTATCACTAGGTGAAGGCGGGGAGATAGCGCTTCCACTGTATTGTACATGTCTACTGTATTAAATACATTTTACCTTTTCTTCTTGGACTCCCTTGCCGTTCAAAAAAATTTACTCACTATTTATTCCCCATTCCTCTCCCCTCTTTTTTTTTATGCTCACAGATACATTCTCTATTCTACTGCAGCTCTGAGTACCTGACCAAAAGAATACGAATATCACCAACACAGCAAGGAAAGATACCCGAAACGTTCTCTAGCACTCACAATCCGAGAAGGGCTCGCGTGTAACTCAATCCACGAGTTTTGTATGTAGACTTGCACAGGCTGAGGAAGATCAGGGGTATTATCCCGCGCTCGCGAGTAATCTCCACCTTAAAAAAAAAAAAGCACCCAGTACGGGATAGAGAAAAGAGGATACTACTACAATCAAGGGCTTACAGCCACTTAGTATCCCCGCCGTCTGCTGCATGGAGCATACCCCCGTCGACAATATCATCTCACTCACGCAAGAAAAGGGGCAGAACTCCATAGTTAATAATACCCTCATGAACTCATATCTACGCTTGGGTTTCACTAGTAATTCAAAGACGGAAAGAGGACTACGAGGAGATCGAGAGAGTAAGAGGCCAGTTCTCTATTCCTCTCTTCTCCATCCGCAGTATGACCGGCAGG